GTCAGAATGGGAAAGAAAGGTGATTTAAGCAATTTTGAGCGTGGCATGGTTGTTGGTGCCAGACGGGCCGGTCTGAGTATTTCACAATCTGCTCAGTTACTGGGATTTTCACGCACAACCATTTCTAGGGTTTACAAAGAATGGTGTGAAAAGGGAAAAACATCCAGTATGCGGCAGTCCTGTGGGCGAAAATGCCTTGTTGATGCTAGAGGTCAGAGGAGAAGGGGCCGACTGATTCAAGCTGGTAGAAGAGCAACTTTGACTGAAATAACCACTCATTACAACCGAGGTATGCAGCAAAGCATTTGTGAAGCCGCAACACGCACAACCTTGAGGCGGATGGGCTACAACAGCAGAAGACCCCACCGGGTACCACTCATCTCCACTCCAAATAGGAAAAAGAGGCTACAATTTGCAAGAGCTCACCAAAATTGGACAGTTGAAGACTGGAAAAATGTTGCCTGGTCTGATGAGTCTCGATTTCTGTTGAGACATTCAGATGGTAGAGTCAGAATTTGGCGTAAACAGAATGAGAACATGGATCTATCATGCCTTGTTACCACTGTGCAGGCTGGTGGTAGTGGTGTAATGGTGTGGGGGATGTTTTCTTTGCACACTTTAGGCCCCTTAGTGCCAATTGGGCATCGTTTAAATGCCACGGCCTACCTGAGCATTGTTTCTGACCGTGTCCATCCCTTTATGGCCACCATGTACCCATCCTCTGATGGCTACTTCCAGCAGGATAATGCACCATGTCACAAAGCTCGAATCATTTCAAATTGGTTTCTTGAACATGAGTTCACTGTACTAAAATGGCCCCCACAGTCACCAGATCTCAACCCAATAGAGCATCTTTGGGATGTGGTGGAACGGGAGCTTCGTGCCCTGGATGTGCATCCCACAAATCTCCATCAACTGCAAGATGCTATCCTATCAATATGGGCCAACATTTCTAAAGAATGCTTTCAGCACCTTGTTGAATCAATGCCACGTAGAATTAAGGCAGTTCTGAAGGTGAAAGGGGGTCAAACACAGTATTAGTATGGTGTTCCTAATAATCCTTTAGGGGAGTGTAGATAGGCTTGTCAGGTGATTAGAGGTTTGGTTGAGGTGTGGCCCTGCTCCCGAACATAACAATTTAACTTCATATATGGAGCTACATACTTGTTTAATGTATTTCTGACAGCTGTGAAATGAAGTGTGTGTTAAAGGAACTAAACAAAATGTCTGTAAACAGGCTATAAACTCCCTTAAAATCTGTGAAGCCTTGAAAGCTGTTGCTGTCTTTCTTATTGCATTATGTATTTATAGTACTTAGAAGCTACAAACAACATGGGTTCTGCTGAATAGATTTACTGGAATGAGTCAGACATCATATGTATTATACTGCAGTATTAACTCTTATTTGTAGGTCAGACATTTGTGGTGAGTGTTGAGGTTCAGTGGTGTTATTGAATTATTAAATGAAACACTGTGCAATGACTGCAGTTAGTGTTATGAAGACTCTGCTCTCTGTTTTAATAGATGTTTTATTAGGATGTCCTGATTTATTTGGTAATGGGTGAGTGAATTCTGGATGTGTACATGTAAAAGTGTATGTGTGTGCATGAGAGTCTTATCAGTATACAGGGCTCTTCAGGCAGTATGGGGGATTGAGGGCCACTCTAATCCGGCCCCAATGGTGACTGATCTAGCTCTCTTTCTGTCTCTGCTCAGCATGAGTTTGTGTTTGTGTTGATGCAGATATCTTATTCCTCTCTGTAGTTTGTCAAACAAAGTAAAGTCAAATTAATCTAACCAACAAATTTGCCTCAAAGTGCTTGTTGAACAACATGTAAACAGGGACAAAAAACCCCAATGTTATTTTGTGTCTGAGTAAAGGATGATGTGGGGACGGCGGTGACTCCATTTCCATTTCCTCCTGGCAGTACAAGTCACCGCGCTGGCATTAATTATGAAAAATAGTTTGGTGTACTAAGTCTGAGATTGCACGCACTGGAGAGAGTTATGATGAATGATGTTAAGGAATCTGTCAGCTGCCATCCCGTTTGGTCTCCACAAATAATTAAAGGCTAGTGTACTTTCTGACAGAAACATGGTTTATGAGCTCGATGCAAGTGTAGTGGTTCAGATCGCAGCCTGTGGGAGCAGCACTGCCTCATTTTCTTATCCTCAGTTGAGGGTCTGTCAGGACTTCCAGCTCAGTGTGTTTGTAATGAAGAAACCCATTCAGATTATCTTAACACTGGTACCTATCATCAATTTAAGATGTTCAACGCATCTCAGGAGCTATTGTGTAATGTAATTTGGTCCTGTAATTTTTTTGTTGACCTTACTTTTCTTCTTTCTTTATCTGCTTCAACTGCAGTAAGTCCCTGTTTCCATATTTCATAGAAAGTACAATATATTAAATATGTTTGCAATATATGTATACATGTATGGATAGGCATTGCACATCCTAGTTTGAACACTAGAGGCGCTGCCATCTGGAACTATTTGGCCTACAATGATGGATTACTAGTCGATAAAAACTTTTAGAATAGGCCTTGTTGATCTAATATGAGTGAAAATTCAGCAACTGGGTGCTGATTTTTCACCTCACATTTGTTCAGAAACAGATTTTGGTGGACTGCTAAGGTGAAATAAGTGAATGTTTATGTAGCCACGTGGAACCCACTACACAGGCTCAAACCCCATTGGCTCACAGAACTAGGGCCTGGAAGTTGGACCCTTGATTAAATGTGGTGGAAGTGAAAATTGCTGAAAATGTGGCCCGTGACTTGTTATATTTTTTGTATATATGGTCAACAATCAAAGTTTGGCCACCCTTGCTTTAGAGGGGGCTGGAGCCGAACCCAGCTGACATTGGGTGAGAGGTGGGGTACTTCCCGGACAGGTCGCCAGTCACTCACAGGAATGACACATAGAGACGGACATTTCTTATATAGTGTATATTCTCTTAGCCCAGTTCTAGATCTTCTTTTGTACAGTTTATGTTCTTGAAGAGTTGTAGGGTAAATGACTTTCTTTCAGTTCATGTGGGTAGGCAGCCAGCAGACATACAGCTCAGCTATAGAAGGACTCTATTGTCCATCTTATATGGGCAGAAGAGGCAGAAGCCTGAAAACATTTTTCAGTGTATTTGACTGGTGTATCCAATTGTTGAAAAGGGGAACTCTACCAATTTTTCACATCAAAGTCTACATTCAGGTAATCCATATCTCCACCTGAAGTGTCAGTGGCCAATTTGCACTGTGGGTAATGTTGGCAGCAGGTTTTGGCAAGGAGGATTCTCCAGCATTATTTTTTTTCATCACTAAGGGTTTTACTGTCCATTGTGTGTCCAACAGTGTTGTAAATTGGTGGAGTACTCCAAGTTAAATCCAAGTTGTCCTGTTTGTAGTTGCCACCAGGGCACAGACGTGAACAGGTTTTCTCAGTAGGTATCTATATACAGTAAACTAAATACAGAGTCAAGCACTCTGAATGAGTATTGCCACCATTTTGTCCATTAAGTAGTTTGGCAGTTTTAGCTGTTGTGTATATATTGCACTCTTTTGCAGTAATCACACAGTTGCTGTTCTTGGTCAGTACCTCTGAGTGACGGTTTAGTATGCTTTGTTCTTCTCCGAGCTTCTGTGGCGAGCAGGTGAGATGCAACCATGTGAAGTGAGCATCTCTATGGTGAGGAGGCCAGATCTCATTAGGCTGGTCTCTAATTTAATGACACTTTGCACCATGGATGGGCTGATAGACTTCATCTGTCACATCACATTTACAGGACAGACTGCTCACATGAAAACATGCGCACACACACACACACACACACAAACACACCAGTCCATTTAGAAATCAAACAGCTGGAATCACAATTGGCTGAGGAATTAGCTCTATGTGCTCATGCAGAAAAGGTGAATAATGTTTGTCTCTGTGTGTTTGTCTCTCTCTTCGACCTTGCATACCTCCTTACCTTCTCCATACATCTGTCCCTTCTTTTTTCAATCCTACTTTCCCTTTCTCTAACTACACAAAACATGACCGCCTCCTCCACCCCAATCATGGGTCTGACATGTTTTCTATCAGCAGTAATAGATTTTACTTCACCAATACAAGCCTCAGCTTGCAAATTAAAACCCCTAACCAAGTGCTAAATCACTTTTACTGCTGCTCTGCCATAATGGCCCATGTGTCTGTTTGTGTGTATTTCAGTGTGGATGAGATAGACAGACACTGCTCAGGATTATGTGCGTGAGGTTTTTGGAGACTTTGATATGTATAGTAAATATCTTTGATGTTTTCATTCTGTTTCCTCTCTGTCTGACAACAGTGATCCAGCAGTGATCCCACCTGTTTCACTGATTGAAAAACTGAAATTGAAAGAATTGGAAAGTTAGCACAACCAATGATAAATAGGTTACTATAACTGAGTAGACAGTGAAGGGAGTGCAATCTATAAAACACTCATCAACAGAAATCCAAAAAAGGAGACCTCACATGCATTCCTTGATTCATACAATGATAATGCTTTAATAATTGTTTATTTACAGCAGGTTAATATAATTATAACATGTTTACAATCTATTGCAAATCCAGCAGCCCCTGAATAAATTTGTTTTTGTCGATTACATCAGAGACGAGTTGATTCTACTCTGTAATGTTTAGCTGTGTTTAAGCTGTGTTGTGGTAATAAAGGGACACAAAATATTGGATGGCATTGCATTACATTATAGGCACAGCCACGCTGTTGTTTTTTTGTATGTGTGTAATGCAACATCAGTTTGTGTGTGGGTTAATATGTATGCCTTCTGTACATCGAAGTCATTCCTATAGTCTGCACTATCTAGTGAGAGTACTGTATGTTTGTGTGTGAGAGAGATTTTTCTGTACTCTTGGTTCCACCTTGTGGAGAAAAATGTTTAAAGGTTCTACAGTTAAACTGTACCTACAATTCATCACATGTCCTGCTTCCTTCCCTCCCTTCTTCATTCTTCTCTCCTTAGAGATGTTCATGCAGAGTGGGTATCCAGCGGTGTGACCTCTCACCTTTGACTTCTGACTTCTCTTCACCCTCACTACCTTCAAACACTCTTCTGATGTAAGTGTATCTAAATATCTGTCTGTCTGTCTGTCGTATGTGACATTTAATTTAATGTTATTTCTCTTCTTTCAGGTGTTAAGCAACTTTGCTGAACGTGAGTATAACAACAATAATCACAACCAGGTCAATGTATGACTTATGTCACCTGGCAGGTTAGGTTAGGGTTCATTTTTGTAGATAGAAAAGCTGTCACTGGACATATTTCAGCTGTACTGTCATAATGCATGCTTGTATTTAAGTAATTTACATTGTGCATGTTCTCTAATGTTACCTAATTCTCTCCACATAATTATAAATATACCTTTTGAGTTTGTTCTATGACCACACTTACATGTGAAAATACATTGCAGCACATTGCATCTGTGTTTAATGTGATACTGAGCTTTGTGTGATTTGATTAAACTTCATATTTGTTGTGCAGTGGGAGGCTCTTGTTAATGATGTCACTTCCTGTGCCTGTGTCAGAGTTTGATGGAGAGCTGGTCGGATGACAGCTGGAACTGTTGTCATAACCGGAGGAATACTGGCCACAGTGATACTTCTGTGTATCATAGCTGTGCTCTGTTACTGTAGACTCCAGGTATGCCTGTTTGTGTGTGTGTATTTCAATTTTTATATCTCGGACTAGAGACTGCTTTTTGAGGGTTAAGATGTGGTTTTAGGGTTCACGTCACAATTGGGTTAGTTAAAGGGGTAGGGTTAAGGTTAGGAATGTAGTTGTGATGGTTAAGGTTAGGGTAAGGGGAAGAATGCATTATGTCAATAAGATTTGAAGATACTACATTCTAAAAGCATACTAATTATTTTGGAAAAAGTGAGTTGATCTCAACCTATGTCTTAATTTGTTTTGGGGGGAAAAAAGCACTGAATTAACTCAATGTTGTAGACTTAAGTGAACAGTTCTTGGTTGGTAATGGACTTCTCTCCCCCGTAGTACTACTGCTGTAAGAAGAATGGGTCTGACAGCGCCTCCATCTCTCAGCAACACTTTGCCTGCAATGCATGCAGTGTCTCCGGCCTGGACGGGTCGATCATCACCCCATTGTCCATGTCACCACCAGAGCCGCCCGTATCCTCCGACCCCACCAAATCCACAGGGGGTCAACGCAGTTACTGCCCCACCTGCTCACCCTATGACTCGCCCTTTTACATCCGTACCACTGATGAGATGCGCAACGGTGGCGAGCGCATCACCTACATGCCCACACACTATGAGAACCAGGCGTTGGCGATGCCACTGCCCACTGTCCGAGGCTCCCTGCTGAGGGAGACCCAGCGAGGCCGGCCTCCCGATTTCTACACCAACACCCGAGCCATCAGCACAGAGGTGTGACCAACCCAAGCCCCCACCCCCTCTCCACAACACTACCCATATACACAGAGACACTCCCCTGTTCACTTACACACATAAACCAGCACCACCACTAACCAGACCACAAAAATAATGCTGACACCTACTGCAGCTGCCAGAGAGATCTACTAGATCCACTGTTTGTGGAGGTTATATGATCATGTTTATTTGGGGGCTTGGGTTTGGGGGGAATGTGGGGGGCTTGGGAAGTGAGGATTGTCTAAACTGCTGAAGTGTGTGACAAGCAGGGATCACTTGCAAACCTAGTTCATCAGTTTATACCCTTAAATTTTATGTTCAAGGTAAGTAATTCTGTAACTGATGGTAGATAAAACTGTAGCTGTAAAGTCAAAGTAAAAATGCCCCTTTATGCTCTCACATGAAGGGTATGGTTGTAAACATGTAAACTGCCTGTTGACTGTTACTATATCTTCACTGACTGAGGGCTATCTTAGATAATTTATGATTCCCTTGCTACACATCTTCCTAAAAGACAAAAAAGAGTATATAAAGTAATATAAAGTAAATATGAAGCAATTTTGTCATAAGAAGAATGGAGACTGAAATACATTTCAAAAATAATTTGCAATAGAAGGAAAAGTCAACATCCCCTTTGCAGTTTTCTGGATCTCTGGCAAGCATGCTCGAGTTACAGGAAAGGCGGAAGACGACGGACGACTGGAGCTTTCTCTATGCAAGCTGTCTGGCAAACTACTGCGGCTCTTCATCTCCAGTCATCTACTTTCAGCAGTTTTAGGCTCATCATGGAACTTTATTGGAGGAATATTGTAAGCACGGTGCACACCCACTGAGATATTACGAACCTGCACCTGTAGATAGACTTTCAAGCATTTAAAACTGGATCATGGTTACAGTAGTTCAAAGCCTCATGGGTTGCCAGGTCCACATTGAACCCCCACTTTCTCCCCTAAGTTGTAAACCTCTGAATGAGCAAGGACGCCCTGTGCCCATGAACGGAACAGCGGTAAGCTTCAAGTGAAGGAGAGAGTGAAAATCTCAGCGACGCAAAAAGTTTGATATGTAAATAATAACCAGAAAGCAATGAATTCATCTCTTGATCCCATTGTGTTCTTGATGGAGTGAGATGCAGTTTGAACATGATGTATTTTGAATGAGGGAGTGTTATTTACTAGTTTGTGCTATTTTGTCTACACACTCCTCCTATACTCCTGTACTACTCTCATGTTGAATCTTTGAAATGCAAATAACCATGTCATTTATGTTCATGTTTATTTTTCATATTGTGAGGAAGTTAGAATACACATTAATGTGATTGAAAACTGTTTCATTGTTTCTACATAATACTTATCCAGTATTGCTTGCCTTACACAATAATATTTCCTGAGATATTTGTCCTTTCTGTGTATTGCAGGATTCAGTGAGGCTAAACAATCAATGCAAGAAACCTTAAGGACTTGCATGGTGTGATAATGTATGATTATTTTGATTGATGAAGATTGTAAGGACAGACCTAGTATTATAATTCATCCATTAAACAAAAATGCTATTCCCAACCTATTTTCAGCACTGCATATAACATATGATTATTCATTGATCAGTGGCTACTTAATTTATTTATTTATTTATTAAGGTTAAATAGATGCCAAGTGTAGTAGGATTACACTGTACATCCTGAAACTCCTCAAAACCATTTAGAACAGAATTGTTTAAAAGGACAAATAAACAAACAGAGGACTGGCAAAATGAAAGTTCATCACTAAAGATTGACAGGTTTGATATTTGGAAAACAGAAAGGTCTGGCCTGGAATCTCCCAAGATACAGTGAAAAAAAACAAGTGTTTCTCCATATTGTTGCCCACTACCACAGATAAGGATTTATTGTCATCATTAATTGATTTAGGTATTGTATTAACTATATATTTTACTCTTTGAAAACATAAAAAATAGCTTTTTAGAAATGTGGTTAAAACCGATATCATACCTGACGAATACAGAAACATTAATATGTGACAGTGTTGAATTTTGACAATTAAAGATTTGTAACTGCTTGAAATGGCTCTTTGTATGATGACTGACAAGAACACACACACACACACACACACACACACACACACACACACACACGTTATAGGCTGCCTATTCAATTTTTCCACAGAAACATTTCCACATTTATTTATTCATCTAAATGTTAAAGAAGGAGAAATGTTTCTGTAATATTCATAAGCACTGAAGGCAACATGAACTTTGACCTCCAACTAATGATTTTCATGAATGATTCCCATAAAGAATGCCCATTTAATTACATGCCTACATGTATTTATTTACTGTAAATTACTGGGGGGTTTTGCATTTAATAGAATGTTTATTTTTTGATCATTTGTTTATTTCTGTATTTCCCATTATATCAGAATCTGTCCTCCACAACAAAGGGGGAAATTATGCTATCTGATGGGAAAGTGTGTTCCTCAAATAAACATTATACAACTAAAATGCATAATAATACATCGTGTTTATATAGGTCAAAAATAATATGCGTATGTTTTCACCTATACAGCAAATGTTTAGGGGTAAAAGCCTCAATCTAAGAGCTTTTTATATACAGTCTATGTGTAAGAGGTGAGCAGACACGCTGCAGGAGTACAGCGCATGCGTGAACATTCCAAACCGGAAGGCGTGTCATTATTACCCCGGAGTGATTCATCTTCGTAAACATACACGATCTTCGCTGCAACTCTTCTGACAGCTAGCAAGCAACTCTATAACGCTCAAAACAAGTAAGTTCACAGCTCTTTTATCAACACTTGTGATTGTTTTGGTGATACCTGTACATGCAGTGAGAAGAGAAACGTTCTTTTCCTTCTTCCTTCTTGTCATTTTTCTCCTTTGCCGGGCGGGGTGTTGCTAAATGAGGTCGCTCCTCCGAAGAGTGGTCCAACTGTTTTGGACTTCGAGCTGGTTAGCGTTAGCCAAACTTAGCTTTAGCTCGCTTTCCTGGCACACATAGGCACTTCCTGTTTGGCAAGCAATTCACCTGTTCCGACTTCTTAGCTCTTGGCTACAGGACTGCTTGTGACAAGGATATGTTTTTATTACCGCGGCGACTAAAAGGCTGTGGTAACTGTTACGTTATGGATAAGTTGGCTTCCCGCTAGCAAATCTTCCCCTGTTTGCATTAACGTTAGCTAGCTAATGTGAGAGGAGTCTGTCCGCTTTACAAAACTGCTGTTTATGTGTGCTTGACGTTTCAGACAAAGTGATGCCAATGCCATTTAACCTACTAAATGTCCGTTAAACGTCTGTTTAAATTCAAAAGCTGACATACTAAGCTAGTCTGCTGATTATGCTGTGAGAGACTGATGTGCTCCATGCAGGGCCTGCAGAAACCAGTGAGAGCAATAATAACCGTGTGGTGCAGGAATTAACGTGAACAGCCACCCTAACACAGAATATAATAAAATAGCATTTCTTTGTATACTGACAAATGTCCCATCAATTGAGAAACCCGAGCATCAACCAGGTGACACTTTTTGGAATTGAGCCATTTACACGGTGTAAGTTTGTGAAAGGGATGATAGAGCTTTTGTTTGACATATTTCACCCAATGACTTTTTTTTTCACAGGAGGGCCTGTGGGCTTGTACGAAAATGTACCCATACATACCTCAGTAACACAACTGCATCTGTGGCCATATTGTCACAGCATTTATTCCACTATGTATGGATCAGCTCCATGATTTGTCTCTGGATGATATCATAACTACAGTATGTGTCTTTGCTGTGAATTTGAAAAGAGAGACTTTAGACTTGGCCATAACTGAAGCAGGACCAGGAGATATCACTTTGTTTTTGTTTTTTTTTACCTTGAAATGGATAATGTCTGAGAGTATTTCTTGAGTTGACTCTTGGTGCTTGTAGAATGTGGCAGACATTATATGAATCACAGTTACTGATATCCTGATATGATATGAAATCATAAATGATAATGCAAAGCAGTGGGTTCCCTGGTATGCTGTGAGAAAATAACAGAAGATTGTATGCATTATGTATAAAAAGACGTTTCTTCACAGTTAATTTAACTCTATAAGATGAAAAGGGCCAAAGCATTGTTGACGTTTCAAAAATGTGCCTGTTCCAACAACAAACAATTGAAACAGACTTCTACCAGCCAACTATTATTTACTGTGGTGGTTAAAGAATTGTTTATCTCTCTTAGTACTAAATTAAGCTCCACAATGTTATATGGCTGCGATTTGATGTCCCACATTCTTTATAGGGCTCAGTAGGGTTTGGTATTGTTTCAATTTTATCGATTCTGATTTTACTTATTGAATCTGGTTCTTACCAGATCTTGGATCTGGATATTTTTTTGGATATGAAAACAAGAATAAATATTTGAAGAACAAAAATTTGCCAACCTTTTATTCTTGGCACATTTTGGTTATAATAATAGCCTATATAATAAGGCTTCTTTTTTCTCTTCATTTATAAAAATAAATGTTGTTCCAGGCAAGTGATTGGACAGACTCTCCCTGGAGGGAGGGTTGTATTTGGCATTTAGGTCCTTGGTCGTCTCCATGCATAGAAATTTTACACTAACATTATTATGCTACACCTACCATGGGGTAGGCCTTTTCAAAGTTTACTGTAGACTATAACATTATTCTGTCAGCTGTGTCTGATGTGCTGGAGATTCTGGAGTTTCTGTACTAGAGGGGTGTCTCTGAAGACTCGTATCTAAGAAAAATATGTATTGGAATAATTTGTAGACATCATTCATTTACCTTCAATATAAAATGTGACAAGACAGATGAGATGTGTTTTGTACCTGAGCATGAGACATTGCTACTGTTAGTGTTAGCTGTATTTGGGACGTTATTGTTGCTGGGAGACTCATTGAACACAGGGCATTCCTTCAGATTCACGCTGTGCTGAAGTAAAGGCTTCGTCATATTAGAGGTGCTTCCTCCCTTGCGCGAAATAACCTTACAGGTGTTATTTTGCTGCTGTTCTCTGTTTTTTTTATTGAAGCTAAGCCAAACTTGTTTTGTCTTTGCTGCGGTCCGCCACGGTCCTGGAATGTAAACAGAGGAACTCTCTTCTCGCATGATTTGTTGATGTACTGCGTAACAAATGACATGATGTTAGGTCAGAGTAGCAGGTCCTGGCAAATAAATGTAACTTTTATGGATTGTAAAATGCTCACTGCAGTTCCATCAGAAGCTCGACTGAAATATGAAAAAAGTTAGGAACCGATAAGCAGAATTGAAATGCACGCGTCTTATTGTAACCTTTTCTCGGTTTGGGGAGTAAAGTTTGCTTGCTCTTAAGCCTTTTGCAAGCAACTATCCATTAATTGGGGTTGCTGGGAGACTCATTGAACACAGGGCATTCCTTCAGATTCACGCTGTGCTGAAGTAAATGCTTCGTCATATTAGAGGTGCTTCCTCCCTTGCGCGAAATAACCTTACAGGTGTTATTTTGCTGCTGTTCTCTGTTTTTTTTATTGAAGCTAAGCCAAACTTGTTTTGTCTTTGCTGCGGTCCGCCATGGTCCTGGAATGTAAACAGAGGAACTCTCTTCTCGCATGATTTGTTGATGTACTGCGTAACAAATGACATGATGTTAGGTCAGAGTAGCAGGTCCTGGCAAATAAATGTAACTTTTATGGATTGTAAAATGCTCACTGCAGTTCCATCAGAAGCTCGACTGAAATATGAAAAAAGTTAGGAACCGATAAGCAGAATTGAAATGCACGCGTCTTATTGTAACCTTTTCTCGGTTTGGGGAGTAAAGTTTGCTTGCTCTTAAGCCTTTTGCAAGCAACTATCCATTAATTGGGGTTTTCACTTTGTTTTGAAATGCTCAAGCTGCTCCAGTTGATTTTGGTTATATTTTAAAAGTGAAGTTACTGATTTTAGAGTTGCAACGATTAGTTGCTTAATTTGCTAGTCAATTGTCAGAAAAATAATCATACATTTTAATAATCAATGAAACATTTACGTAATTTTATGTAAAGTAAAAAATCCTAAAAATATTAGTGTTTTCGGCCCCCCAATTTTTTACATTATTGTAAATTGAAACTCACAGCTCTGTAGACTGGTAATAATTTGACAACTGTGGAGCTTCTGTATGCTTGGTAGATTGGTAGAAGATTGCTGCAAACAGGAATAAACAGGTACTAGTCTGATGTTTTTTAAAAATTTTTATTTAACCTTTATTTAATCAGGAGAGTCCCACTGAGATTAAGAACCTCTTTTGCAAGGGTGACCTGGCCAAGACAGGCAGCAGCATATTAAAAAAATACAAACATATAGGTACAGACAAATAACACAGAAGACTAGTAAGCTAACATTTCATGAAGTTATTTTAAATCATTTTTCCAATCTAAGAGCATTTACATATTAAGGCATCTGCCTCTAAGTCTTTCATTTTGGATTTAAATGCGTTTTAGCGAGATTAATTCAGTGAGTTTGAAGTCCTTTTGCAACGTATTCCATGCTGAAGGTGCAGAATACAGAAATGCCTTCTTTCCCGGTTCCGTACGGGTATTTGGCACAGAGACCATAAAGAAGTCCTGAGAACGCAAAGAGTGCCGCCCATTGTAGGCCAAGCTTTAGTGGTTAGTCTTTTGTTGGGTGTCTTGATGGAGAGGTGTTTCTTTGTCTCAAAGGAACTAGGCCTACTTTAATAAGAGGTAGCATTGCACAGCCGGCCAGAAAACTAACCAGTATATAAGGAATTAATTAGCTTCCTTTTCATATTCATTCATCAGATTTACTGACATGCATATTCTGTTCATGGTCTTGCATGCAGTGTTGTGTTGCTGTCGTGTTTAGAGCTTATAAAACAGGTTGTCACAGCAGTGTACTTGAGGTCAAAACAGTGTACTTCATTCATGGTGGTAGGTACATTTGAATCCACCATAAACAGACACAAGAGATAAAAACCTTGTATTTGACTATGAAAATAGCTCGGATGGCTGTAGCATCAGACCTAATGGGAAGCAATTCAATGATGAGAGATGTCACTAGAATGCAGTCACAAACTTGTGTTCACCTTTCGCCAACAAGCCTCAGAGGAGGTTTCACTCCCAGATGCAAAGTAGGACTGCAACTAACAATTATTTTCGTTGTCTATTAACCTATCGATTATTTTTTCGATTAATCAAGAAGATGTTTGGTCAGAAAATGGTGAAAAATGTTGATCAGTGTTTCTCAAAGCCCAAGACGATGTCCTTTTTCATAATAAAAAAAAAAAAAAGATTAATCGGTTGTCTAAATAGTTGATGATTAATTTAATAGTTGACAAATAGTCAATGAATCATTGCAGCTCTGGAGGCTGAACTGTTTCCCTGTGGGACTGTGTGGAGAGTCACCTGGCTTAATCTTGTTCAAATGTTAGGACGGGCTGAGGTTAGTCGTAACATGATGTGTGATAGATGCTTTTGCACAAAGGGTTTCCAGGAGCAGTAATGTGTACAGGGAAATTAACTCCCAACCTGTGACAGTGGTAATGTCACACCCTAATCCCAGTATGGAGTTACCCATCCAGACACCAAAGATACCATTGTAATTGCCTTTGATTCGAGACAGTCTGAGAGAATGCACAGTGTCCAGGCATGGACAAAATCTGAAAACAGACCAAAGACTGCACATAAGTTATGCTTTTCAAGTTGATACTTTTGTGAAAAGTTATTAAAATCTGACCCGGCCTCACCCTAGTGTTATTGTCTTTATTCTCATTGGAACAGGTTTGCCATGCTGCAGTGACAGGTCTGTTCACTGTGCATACTGTATGCTTCACAGTCATTCAGGGAACGAGAGGCAGGAAATATGGAGTCAGCAGGTTGGGCAGCCTTAGCTGTGCTCTTCACAGTAAGGTCAGGATGTTCATTTAAAAGAGACAGAGTTAGGTTGAGGCACGAGTCAGACATGTAGCCATCATTGTCTACAACCAGAAGAGACGTGAAGCCAAATGCATTGGCTATCACCTGCTGAAGAAACTGGTGAAAAGGAAACATTTTTTCTAGCTCCCAACCCTCCCGGGAACTGTCTGAAGTGTTCAGAGCCATGTATAAAAATATCATCAAATACAATTTGATAATAGATTTTGGGTTGTTTCAGTTAACTTTGTTGGTGTCTATGCCCACAAAGCTTACTTCTCTGACTCTCATGACAGGGATTATAATATTCACCTGTCTGTTGACACTAAGTGTAAGTAAGTGTAACAAAACAGCAGGGCAACTCACAGACCGATAGGAACACATACACACCCTAACAGATGTAATGTGTCTGGTTTACCCAGTGCCTGTGGGTGTTGTTCAGCCTGTCTACACCACTGGCTACTCACAGTTTCCATACAGGCAGTGGTTGGGTAACAAGACGTCCAATTGGACTGTACTGGAGAATAAGGCTGGTAATAACTGGGTGCAAATTTGCTGCTGTGTTTATAGCTTGAGTTACAGTCAAAGAAGAAGTGACTGTCCAGTCACACAAGGGCTGCAAGAGTGAGATAGGTTAGTGTAATCTGGATAAATGTTGTTGTATGTTTGTAATGTATGTTGTTTGTATGTAAACTAGATTTGAAATGACCTACTGGCAACCAACAGATGCCAGTAAAATTATTCTTTATTAACGGATTCAATCAAAGTCACCTATAACATTTTATTAGTTTTGTACTATTCACATACTAATGTGCTTGCATTTGTGTGAGGGAGATTATTGGTTCCTTTCACAATCAACATTAAGTAATTATAATTAATAGCCAGTACAGTGTGGGTGGAATTTACCACATGCTTTAGAAGAAGAGACATGTGATCCATACATGGTGTCCCAACATGCCCTGTTACTATCTGTTTTGTTTTTTTCTAAGGTCCTTCCCATTGCAGTTTCTTCCATAAGTGAGTCAGTAGGAGTGTTCTCTTTTCTGCTTCACTCTGCTTTGTGTAATTGAATAAGTGTGATTGGAGCACATGACCCTGTTGCCTTCCTCATGTATGTGTGTATGAGTATAATTTGCAAGGGTTGAGCGTGTGTGAATGCCTTTTCTATGCATGTGATCATGTCTCTGTTTTTAAATGAATACCCCCTTCATGCATTTGTTCTAGACTATTATGTGTTTGCTTATTTGTGTGCGTGTGTGTGTACATTCTCTTCCACAGCACAATTTCTTAAAGTCCAATGTGGCGTCATTAAATTTCTTTAATTAGATAAAATATTCCATTTACAGTGATATTATCCAGAGAAAAGCAGCAAATCCTTAAAATGTAGAAGCTTGAACCAATACATTTTTGCCCATTTTGCTAAGAAAATGGCTCAAATGATTCCTGGATTACTGAAATAATTTCCAGTTAAATTTACTGTTGATCAACTAATCTCCGGTTATAGTACATTTGTAAATGTGTTTAGTAGGAGGTAAAAATAGTTTGTGAGCGCTGAAAGTAGTTGTCTGACAGGCCTCACTTAATTGTTGCTGATCATTTGTTAAAATGGGCATTAATTAGCATTAACAGTACTTTTGAACTGTTACATAACCTTTTTTTAATTGTATGTGCATTTTATTTATCTATACTTACTTACTTGCTTACAGACAGGTTTCAACTAGCTTTGTTTGTATGTGGTGTAATCCAGCTCATGGCAGAATTAATGAGCCATAACCTATGGAGACAATGGGCTGATACAGATCTGTACAGACAGACTTTTTCTTTTGTCTTTTGGTGCTGTGCTAGTAAGCGTACAGAGTCCTTAATGTGCCAACAAAGACATTTGGGGAGTAGATTAAAGATGCCTGTTAATAATTGCTTGGTCACAGATCTGAAGAAATTGTTGCTATAACATCAGTAACACCTAAAATCAACAGCTAGTGGCAGGATACTACATATGCTCTTAAAGTATATCAAAAGAATCTTTGAAATAGAGCCATCAACAAATTTAGCTGCCAGCCTGTCAGGCACTGTGGCAGGCAACTGGCAAATGCCAGAGTGATCTGGGAGACAATAATCACACCCTAAGCACCGAGAACAATTTGAGGAATTGCACAACAGCAGATTTGTGGTTAGCTTTACAAATTGTGCTTTTTCTGTACTGGTATCACTAACTCAGAGATGACAGGGTATTTAGAATAACTTTAGCCTAGACTCACAACCCTAAAATGTGGCCTATAAAACCAAAGTTCTGGCCACTTTCTGTCCCATCCTTTCTGTTCCCCAGTACCAAATGGGTCTGCTGTAATTTGGCATTCCATCCATCCACCGCTTATCCTGCGTACAGGGTCACAGGAAAAAAAAACTGCATTTTGTGTTTAATTGTGTTATCTTTGTCTAATATTTCAATTTGTTTGTTGATCTGAAACATTCAGTTTGACAAACATGCAAAATGCTGTGCTTGCAGACTGCCTTCCTACAGAGCTGGGCGGACAGGAGAGGGAAGGGTTTAACCCTGGTCTCCCCAGCCGACTCTGAGTTAACCAGCCAGCCATGGATGACAGCTCCTCACTTGGAAAAGTAAGCAGCTCTACAGAGTCCGTGGCCACTGTCACCAGTGAGGAGTTTGTTCTGGTGCAGTCCAGTGCTGCTGGGTCACCGCAAGGCTCTGGAGGAAAACCAAGACTCAAGGTCAGAACAACACATGGACAGACTTTTACACCTAACTTGAACGGTGCAATATGTAAAATTAATTCCCCCGTTACACAAAATGATCCAACACGAAGCCACTTGAAGGCTGCTGGTCAGATTTGCAGTTGCAAAATGTCAAACACAACAGCTATAAAACCTTTCTCATCATTGGCCTCCACCTGGATTTAGTAATCTACTTTTTTTATTAACCCTGCCAAATGTGCCTGTGGCTACCACTAGAGCTTATGTGGCTGAACCGGTCATCAATGTATGTGTGATTACAGTCTAAGAATGCATGTTGACAGCATATGGAAACAAGTGACATTTTTTGCCAAAGCCCTCAGTCCAGGAAGCTCCACTCTGTCTTCATCTTTTGTTTTTATATCCTTGTTCTTAACCTGTTTTAACTCTTTGTTTCTCCTTTCCCTAATCCCTAATGTTTTGTCTTTTCCTCTCTTCCTAAGATGTCTTGGAATGGGAGTGAGCAGCTGGAGAAAGCTATGGAGGAGGTGTTGGATGATGATGATGATGATGTGAAGGTGGAGAAGAGCAGCGTGGAAGAGATGGAGAAGCACAGGCACCCGGAGAAGCACAGGCACCCAGAGAGCCGAGTCCTGGAGCCCCGACCTGCAGGTATAGCTCTGGACTTTTCAGGTCCATTTAGTCACTGTGTCTACTTGTGGACATTTATAATTTGCCAGTCAGCTGTTCTTTCATTCTCCCAACCATGCATCAAAATGGAAATATAACTATATTGTACTTAGGACATAAATGTTTCTTCCTTTTAGCAAACTTTTCAAAGCAGCTGAATGTTGTGACACACTGCAACTGAACATTTCCCAAATTCTATTAGTATTTAACTAGTGAAATCAGAACATACCTGTGACACTGTGACATATGTATGTAATTTGTAGGGATGTCCCCGACTAAGAATTTACATAGTTGAATCAGAATTGTCAAGTCTCGCCTATAGTCGAGTGATAGTCAAATCATATGTGTTTGTGAGGCGGCGATTGCGGAGGGTGGGGGGCTTACACTTAGTAGCTCCGTTTTAATCTTGAGAAGCTGCAGAGCAGCAATCTCTGTTTATCACTGTCACTGTAGCTTACACTGTAGCCTACATTTCCAGCTAAACTGAGGCTTATTGTTGACCCTTTTCTCTCTGCTCGCCTGCCATTCACCGGCCTTGAGTTTTGCGTGTGTGCGTACCATGTGGCTGACAACTGCATGCACGTTGCGCTTCCTCGCGAGTCTATTTCAAGTACTGTAACAAATATAATATTCTTTGTGTGGTTCATCAATGGTGATAAATGATCATTCATTGTGATACAATGAATAACAACAAATGTAATACTAAATTAGTTCAGGCTCAGGCCAAAATGGAAAAATGTTTTCAGAAAAAGTGTTTTCTTTCATTACTGTATCTACTCACGTCGTTGTCAGTTTCATTTTATTATGGGGTATGGATTTCAATGAAGTATAAGGAAATAACAATGTGCAAGGCATTCTTGGATGAAAAATGTTTGAAAATGAGCTAAGTGCTTAAAAAACATTTAGCTGCGTGCCATTGACATACCGAAATCTATTTTGCCGTATCAAATTAGCAAGGCTGGTATCTGAACCCTCTGACATTGGCTTAACGGCTCTGTATATCAGCAAGGACAGGTTGGCCCAGACAGCTCAACAAACACTGGTGCAGAAATAACATACACTCCATATACAGCTCAGTGGCAGGTACATGGCATTTGCAATGCCAGCATTACATTATATAGTTTCCAATAAATATGGGGCCTCTGGTTTCATGTACAGTACCTGTCAGGAATATAAAGTCCGATGAAAAGCACTTTTGATGTATTTTTGGATAAAATCTGTGGAGGATGATGTAGGCGTGTAATATGCTCTTCCGATGAAACTCCTCACTTTCAGGTGAAATGAAACATCTAGTGATATCATGTGTCACAGAGGAAGGAAGCACGTGTCTCTGTGTCTCTGTCTCTCCAAGCCTACAGTATCCTGCTTGCTCCTGCTTGGCTCCTTCCCAAGCAAGCTGGTGCATGCTCTGCTGCGACAACACAGTCTGTACACTCCACTTCGAGTCACTGGTGCGCGTCTGTCAAGACCAGTAGCACTCACCTCAATATTTGCCAGATGTCTTGAGAAACTGGTACTGAACACCATCCTCCCGGCTGTCTGCCCATAGCTGGACCCCTACCAGTTTCCCTACAAGGCCAAAAGAGGAACAGAGGATGCTGTAGCATGCTTCCTTCACACTCTACTACAACATCTGCACTTCCCTGGCCATTATGCCAGGATCCTATTTGTAGACTTCAGCTCTGCCTTCAACACAATTCAATGTCACACCATGATTACTCAACTCCACCACCTCCATGTGCCACCTCTCCTCATTCGCTGGATCCATAATTTCCTCAGTGACAGACCACAGGCAGTGAGGGTGGGAAGCACCACATCCACCACCACCATTACTGTAGCATTGGAGCTCCCCAAGGCTTTACAGTCTGTACACCAATGACTGCATTAGCCCTTCTCCCATTACAAAATACTTCAAATACTCTGACACAGCCATACTCGCCCTCCTATCTGAAACAGAATCAGTTACAGCATATCACCAATCCATTGCACACTTCACACAATGGTGTAAGAACAGTCACCTCCTCCTCAACGTCACCAAGACAAAGGAACTCATCCTGGACACATGCCGTAAAAGTTTTGCATTGTCCTGTATGATCATTTCTGAAAACACAATATATGGTCTACAAAGAGCTTTAGCTATTCTGGCAGCTGGTGAACATAGGGAAATAAAGCAGGTTAAAGTTAGAAAGTTGGAAAATACATTTAAATTTTCTTCATCTGATCATCTGACTCCTTTACTCAATTTTAACAACTGGAGACAGAATGTTTTACATTAGGACTACATGTCTTTGTTGATTTCCTTGCAGTTACTTAGTGTTGTCACTCTTTTGTGTTGCACTACTATTGAGTGAACTTGGAGGAAATGGTTAGTGTGGTGTAGAGCGAGTCAGCAGAGCAAGTCCAGCTGCTACTCTCATTGTTCTGCTTCCTGTTTGCAAAGTGTAAAGCACCAGGTCAAAGGTCAATTCAGAGTAGACCTCACCACCAATTTCCCATTCTGCTTATTTTTGCTTCTTCCTCCTCTAGTTGTGTTTTGGAGTTTTTGTCTTGTTTCTTTCTCTTTTTTTTTTCTCTTAAATGCACTGGCCTGTAGAGCTGTTAGACTACACCATGTGAAAATCCGAGAGAAGCCATGTTCTCATGATGCTTTGACAGCTTTCCAGCGTAATGGGATATGTTGTTGTTGAAGGCTGTTTAACAATTTAAAAAAAAATTATTGAATTAAATTAGATTCACATTTTACAAGACTGTAGAGAAGAAGAAGACATCCATTTAGCATACAATATGGAAACCCCCAAGGACACGTTTATGCTTTTGAGAAGAATTTACAATATCAAAACCTTTCTGTCTGTCCACAGAAGCTTCTCCAGCACCACCCAGCCCCACGGTGCTGGAAGAAGATAGTGTCCAATTCAACAAGTTGTCCTACCTGGGCTGCACCTGGGTCAAAGCCCCTCGCAACGAGGCAGAGGCACAGAGTGCCATGGCCACCCTGCGGGCTGAAAGCGCCATCCCCATCCCCATCACCCTGCATGTCCCCTGCGGACCAGATGGCTCTGTCAGGTAAGCCACACAAAGACTGTGTATGTTGAGTTGTGTTAGTGGGTCGGTTAAAAGGGTCTATGATGAAAGGAAAATAGATAAATTTGTTAAGATTGGTATTTCAACATATTTACACTACAGTTTGGCAGGAAAGAAACTAAAACGTATATAACGTCAGTATGGTAATACAATATTCAAGGATTGTTGTGAAACTAATGGCGACAGGTCATGTAATCAGTATTGTATATACTGATATAGGCAAGCAGAAATAGGAAAGTTACAGATGAAGTGTGTATTACATGAGCTGAGAGAAACTTTTCAAACATCCTGAAAAGGGAACATGAAATATTTAGATTCAACAAAAAGGAAATGAGATGTGACTTCTTTGACTACACTGAAAATGTTTACTTTTCTTGGTTGAATATGAAATGTAATGCCATTTATTCGGGTAGATGAGGTATTACTAATTTGTGTTAACACAAAACATCTTAAAAGTTTCAAAGTGTTAGGTATTTGCTCTGGGAACTCAGGCTACAGGTATATAGAGATAGGGTGATCTAGAAAATGGATAAAATGGATAATAAATGTGAAATTTGATTATTGGCAAAAAAAGATAACTCTACTGTTAATCTGACTGTAAGTCTGGATCAAATGTAAAAAAAACAACTCTCCTCAGAATTATGGACCAGGCCTCAGGAACAGAGATCGCCTCATTTCCCATCTACAAGGTGTTGTTCTGTGCACGTGGACAGGAGGGCTCGGTGGAAAGTGACTGTTTCTCCTTTACTGAGAGTTACCGGAGCTCTGAGGACTTCCAGATTCATGTCTTCTCCTGCCACATTAAAGAGGCCGTGAGTTGCATGCATGAATTCCACGTTACAAACTGCACCTCTACATGGGTTTTCACTCCGCCGTGGAGTACTTAATCTCATAACATTTAGCTTTAAAGGAGGGTGATGCATGGAGGAGACAGATGATGACTTGTATATAGTGAAATTCATTCTGTGAAGCTGATTACAGGCTCTGTTCTCCAGACCCATAACTTCTGTTGTAACTTTAACGCACTGTTGTCTACTTTTGTATTTGTCAATTATCTCCACTCTATTCTACTCTTGTCTTTATTACTATCCTTTTATTTTCATGTTCTGTTCATTTCTCTTTGTATATACTGATTTGTATTTACTCATTTCCTTTTAATGCTTGTTATTTAATCTTTTCTTCTTGCAGTTAGGTCAGAGTCTATTCCACTTTTTGTTTTTCTTTGTCTTTTCCATCCAGGTCAGTCGTATCCTGTACAGTTTCTCAACAGCCTTTCGCCGTTCTTCACGGCCAGCAGACATCAGGGACACGGCACTGTCTAGTCCGCCCGATGGTGACCTCTACACCTTCACTGTCTCGCTGGAAATCAAAGAGGATGATGGCAAGGGCAACTACAGGTACTTGGTACACACACACACACACACACACACACACACACACACACACACACACACACACACACACACACACACACACACACACACTTACACTTACACTTACTTCAATTCCATTATACAGGTGTCTTTATAGTATAGAGTATAATGGTTCTATGAACAGGTATGTTACCCTCATATCTTTTACATTATATGTGAAAGTCGCATGAGAATCTTTTAACAACCGTTTATGGAATAGTATAGTATGATCATGTGGCTCCATTTTTTTGAGGAAAGCCCCATTGATTGCATGTGTCTTGTGAGCTGGGGACTGTTGTTATCACAGATCTGTTTGTGGTTGGAAAGCTTTAATGATCTGCCACAATACTGTTTTATCTTACTGTTATTGTTCATCTGTAAAAAGGACAAATCTTATGGGCACAGTAAGACTGTTTTTTTCATTTTCCATAGCCATCATATATTGAGTATTTTAGAAATTGGTTTTCATTTTCTGTTCCCCTCAAGGGCTCAATAGCTGTTCTGAAAGCACAGCAGATGTCCTTTAATATATAATACATTAAGAGGACTTGGGGGAAGACATGGCATATTTTTTTTATTTTCTTGGGTTAGTCATACTAAGACAATCTTTTTTCAAAGAAGTAACTGGCAGTTAGACAGAACAGACTAACATATAACAAGCTCAATTCAAAATACGCTTAAAATACATCAAAGAACATAGGACAGAAATACACAAAATCAAAATGGAACCACATCTAAGTCCCAAATGGTATGTATAACCTTCTTCGTCTCCACAGTCCCGTGCCTAAGGACAGAGATAAGTTGTACTTCAAGCTGCGACAGGGTGTTCAGAAGAAGGTTGTGGTTTCAGTTCAACAGATGTGCAACAAGGAGCTGGGCATCGAGAGGTGAGGATCACTGTAAAAAGAGATGATGCTGGGCAAGGTCCTAGAAACCTTCCACTGGGGGTCTTTACTGGGCCTGTGTTACGGGTGTATTTATTCCTTACTCTATTTTTATGTTATCTGCTGTATAGTTTAGGTTTACCTCGATTAATCTTGCACTTGCCGGCCATCAAATGTCTATATCTCGAACCCTCTAATCCTTTCTATTTTGGGGTTGTTTTCTGTACATGACTGACTTAACTATACTTTGAGAGGAGGTTTGCCTTGTTGTACCACCAGAGTTTGATAGGCAGCTGAGTCACCAGGACAAATGAGCTAAACTAAAGGAGGTAATGATGTAGAGCAGTGGTTCTCAAAGTGGGGTCTGGCGACCCCCAGGGGGAGAATAATTTATGGGACCAAATCGTATCAAATGGGGTTCTAATTTGTTGTGTGTGTTTATGGGTTCTTGACATGAAAAGCAGCTTGAAAATCCTGCTTTAAACATTCTGGGTATACACACAGCATTCAATATCTATATCCTTGATATAAACTTAATTATGTTAAATTGTACAATGACTTTTCAGATGTACCAGCCTACTTGAAATGGCTTGCTTTTACAAGTACAGTGCACACACTTAGTGGTCGAAATATTGCAGGGGGAAGGCAGTAAGAACAACAAAAAGTACAATGCAATGAGTCAAGCCACCCATATAGTACATAATAAAAATTATAAAACGCCCCAATAGATGAATACTGGTGTACTTAAATCACTTTTGACTTCCTGCAGTCTCTCATTTTTATGTTAGATTAACACACTCTACAAGCACGACAGCACCTAAGAACTAGGTCATCTACATCACTCGCCTATTCTTCTTTATTCCAACACCTCCAATTGCTTTCAGAGGTAGACAGACACCTTCCCTCTGCTTTATTTTTACTGTCAGTGGAGACCTGTTATTTAGAACTCATCCTTTCTGAGGTGTTCGGCCCATGTTTGACAACACTTAATTGGATTATTATTCATTGTTTTTATTGCCTCAGCCTAAATGGTTAATTTGCATCATGAGTTGTGTGGATGTAGTACATTATATTCTGTATTAATCCTGAGCAGCTGAATGACGACTTTGTTTAAAATGCCTTTTTACCTGGAAGTCGTTCTATCCACGCTTAAAAATATTGTTGAAATGTCACTTTGCACGACCCACATCTTTCAAACTCAATATGAGCCAACCTTGGATAACTATAAATATATATTTTTTTGTAATGCATTCCTGAAACTGAGAGATTCCCATGCTGACCACATGATGGCACCTCCAACCTTAAGCTGAAGGAACTTTACTATACCATGTGATTATGTTGGGTTGGTATGCTGAAATGGAAACAACATAAACCATGTTGCTTCAGTACAGACTTATTTCATCCTTGAAAGGGTCAGGCCATAGCACACCCCTGTCTTCTGCAAGCCAGTGATGGTAGGGAGAGCTGGTTGTTTTTATGACCCTGAAGGTGCTTAGACATGCTAAGCTACATTATTTTGTGCTGCACAGGTTACAGCCCTCGACTTAAGATTTTCCTAATTGACTTGCCATTGGTCGACTAGTTATTGCACATTTATGATATTAATTGAATTGCTCAAATATATATTTTGGGGCATCCAAAAATGGCTTTCCAGGGCTGAGAAAGAATGTTATAAGTAACAGTATTGGCACGGTGCAGAGAAATACAAAACTGTAATAATAAGCCTTTGAAGTATATATTTTACAAACGCATGCCCGCAGAGAGCCATCTGTTAAATGGTAACAACAAGCGATAAGGATTCTGAACGTGCTGCAACAACCAGCAAGGAGACTGAACACTTTGTCCATTTATTTCAACATAAAATAACATAAAAGTTCGCTCAAAACACTGGATCAAATAACTACAAGTATACTCTTCTTCCGCTTGACACCTCTCCTGTCCCCACCTGAACCTGCTGTCATCCCTGGAGTCAGAGGAGCCTTTTGTAAATCACCTTGGTTCTGTATTCCCTGTAGCCAAACTGGCTGGTTTAGTTGACTATTAGGAAGTAGCCCTAGTCTTTTCAGAGTGTCAGCTTTGCCTGAAAGATGGTAATGCGTGTTACAATGTCTGTGTGTAGTTTGGTCAGTTTAGTTGTCTCCGTATTCCTGTTTCCCTTTCTTCCTAACTAATTTGACACTCTGCAGTTGATTGCAGACTGTAACGCTGCAGTTGAATGAGTGATTACTAATTTGTGACTGTGCCTCCTGTGTCTTCCTTCAAGGTGTTTTGGGATGCTGCTGAGTCCAGGACAGAAAGTATGCAACAACGACATGCATCTACTAGACATGGTGAGCACAACCCACCGTAGCTCATTTTAATGGTGTGATAACAGTTTACAGTACGTTCTGATAGTTAAGAGTAGGGTGCCTGTCTTATCAATTAACATACCAGCTCGTTTTATTTTCAGTTCGACCTAAATTAGCATATCCAGAGTTAATAGACCTACATATTAATAATCGAATCACCTACTTATTATTGGCCAATTACTAAACACTACTCTTTTCTTTTCCCAGTTTGTATTTGTAAAACAGATTTGGGTGTCTGTTCAAAATGTTACATCTAATTATAAATAATAATAATACATTTTATATCTATAGCGCTTTTCAGGACACTCAAAGACACTTTACAATAAAACCAGTAGTTATGTACATTTAAAAATAGATAAAGTACATGAATAGAAAAATACATGAACGATAAGTTAAGAAACATATACATAAGATACAATACAATAAGAGCATAGCGGCGACCATATAAATTATATATAGAATCAGGTGCAATGTAAATTAATGTTATTTGAAGTTAAAAGCCAGTCTAAAGAGGTGGGATTTGATAAGTGATTTGAAAGAGTCCATGTCGCTACATTCTGTGATGTGTGTGGGTTGAGAGTTCCAGAGGGAGGGGGCTGCAATGGTGAAAGCTCTGTCACCCCAGGTACGGTGCTTGGTCCTGATTCTACCTGTATTTATATTTTACATTTTATAATTTTACAAAAATCTTAAATGTGTTGCAATTTTTATTAAAGATTAAAGAAACATGTACCTAAGCCATGCATTAATACCTACACAGGAGTCGATGGGGAGGAGCTCTGATGGGAAGGCATATGTGATCACAGGAACATGGAACCCCAACATGGCAGCCTTCCAGCCGCTGAATGAAGACACACCTAAAGGTGAAGCTAGTTATCCACCTACCTATTATGTCCCACAGTTGCAGTTTTACCTCACTGAGCAAAGCTAGAAACCTTTTGACTTCAAAATTAACTTTAATACTTAAAAAGTAAGTTACAGTTATGCCTATAGAAATGCTGGTAAAATGTTTCAATGCTGATTGATTTCCTTCTTTACTAATTTTAGCGATTGGCTGGCTGCAAGTTCTTTTTGAGTAAATGTGCACTACACTTTGCTGCATTTATGGTTTGTGTCAAGTGGAACTTACCAGTGCATGTTTACTGGTTGTTCACACACAAAGTAGGAATTATGTTCATACATTATTGCCACAAATGTAATGTGGGACTGCACAAAGTTCAAGGTCCCGTGTCACAGGAATTATGCAGTGTTTTCATTGGGGCTTGGATGTGATCATTGCCTTCATCCATTCTCTAACACAACATAGTCTCGTACCTGGCCTTGTGACCCATTGCTTGTCAAAGCATGTTTTCGCACATTGAAGTGTGAACACATTGTGTCAGGCAGAGCCAACAGAGCTATGTGTGTGAGGAAATATAATTTTAAAAAAGCATTTTGTGGAGGTTATTCTAATGCAGTTCACTTTACCGCCCAGTCTGGCAATCTTATAGCTATGCAGGTCTTATGCATGGTGATAACAGGAGATGAGCACAGAAATGTTTCACTCTGTACACACTTGTATGTGCAATTGGATCAAAAACATTGAGATTATTAAATACTGCAATATGTATAACTACGCACACAAATATAATCTAATAATAATAATTGTTGATGTAATATTTCTAAATGTAGTAATTAAGTTAGGGAAAGAGGGGGGAGGGTTTATTGATTTGGTCATAACTGTTTCTAGAATAATAACATCTAGAACCTGAATTGAACAAGAACATAACCTACCTACATTACAAAAAGTAGTGTTTCACATAAGGTTTAAGTGCTCTCAGAGAAGCATATTAGAGTTGAAAAAGTTGATTTACCATTATGTACTTGAGAGGAGACCAATTTTATTGTCATTTAAAGGGACGCATATACATGTGTTCAGACTGCATCCCCAGAGTGCATGTAGGCAGAGAGGTTGCCACACCAAATCCATTACAGCTAACAAATTAGACTACTTGGCAACTTGCTGATTCGAAGGCCCTGAGAGTTTGACTTGAAGGTGGATGGCAGGTCTGTCAAAGCAGTCTACCTCATGGGAGTCAGTCGTGGGACACACACACACACACACACACACACACACACACACACACACACACACACACACACACACACACACACACACACACACACTAAATTCGCCCGCATCCTTACTAGCTGAGAGATTCAAAGGCACTCAGAAGTAGTTTATAGTTGTTACACTTTGTAAAATCACACACATAGTTATAGTTATAATTTATAAAAGCTTTATAAAATTTATTTTTTTTTGAAGCAAATTATGCAGTATTTGAAAGTTTCATACATTATCATGCATTTTAGTGTGATGTGGATCTGGTGGTGATATTTGAAGTGGAGATTTTGAAACAAGTTTACATCCCTCTGGAAACACTGGTCAGGGTCAAAATTCTTCTTGGGTAGTTTCTTGTGAGCAGGTAATTGATTAATGGATCGTGGATTAAGTCATTCAAGCTCTGGTGAATATCTGATTTAAAATGGTGGCAAAAATGAAGCTTATAGAGTTCTTTGCCCAAAATTTGGAAATTGTGGATGCTTCCAAAAAATTCTCAATATTTTTCTAAATAATTTTTAATCTGAGTTGCAGCCACTGTAGCCTGTTGTAGCCAACACCAGAGAGGAGCCTAATCAGTAAACAGTACACAATTTCGGCACCAGCGCTAAAAGGGTCGAAAGCAAGTTCTTTTTTCCCCCAAAAAATATTTATTTTGAACAGCACTCTATTAATTAATAATAAATTACAGGACTCATCTAGCACTTGCCCCCCCTAACAAATTCATTTATAGACTTAAGTTGTTAAATTGAAGACATTAATGTTTAGCTCTTATCCACTAGGGGGTGTGGCATCCCCACAGGATACATGGTGTGGATTTCCTGCCTCCCTATAGAAGCCATTCAGATGAATAGCAAAATCTCTTCAGTTTTCTGTTATATTGTTAAACATTGTTAACAAGTATTTTTTAGAAAGAAAAAAACAAACAGGGCTTCATAAATAAAGGTTGGTTTTCTGCCATAGAGGTTGGTGCAGACTTACTAATGTATACCAGCTTTTGGCTGGTGGACAATTGATGGCCTAGTTTGATTCATATTAAATAAAATGAAAAGAAACAAAGCAGTCTTGCATAATACCTCCACAGTAACCTTGCCTTTTTCTTGTTTTGCCTTTTCTTTCTGGTCTGCTCCAGATAAGCAGGTCTACATGACAGTGGCAGCGGACCTGGTAGTCACCGAGGTGGTGGAGCCAGTTCGCTTCCTGCTGGAAACTCTGGTCAGGGTATATCCATCCAACGAACGCTTCTGGTACTTCAGCCGCAAGACCTTCAGTGAGACGTTCTACCTTAAGCTCAGACAGGTATCTATACTGCAACTATTACAACCTTCACAGAACCGGCACCCATTTTTATACTTTACCTATGCCCATATTTGTGGTTTATATCTCTCTTTAAACCCCAGTCTGACTGCTTGACTAACTAACTATGATTTAAATAAAGTGGTTAAAGGGCTTCTGGTTTCTAACCTGCTTGATTTCTGATGAGTTGTGTAATTTCTAGTTGTCACTTGCTGGATCTGTGGTTAAATTAATTTCACATTTGATGATTTATAGGTGGGCTCCTGAGTTGATACACGTGCTATCATGTAAATAAGTGCCAAACATATTGTAAAACTACCAGTCAGTCAGTAGAAACAATAAGGCTCCTTGGATCTTTGAGATATAACAGTCCAGTTACTGCAGAGTTTTTACTTCTATACATCCTATGTTTTGGATGATTTATAGGCATATTAGTTTGTTACTTGTTAAGTTAGTTCAGATCTAATTTGTAATTTCTGATTGATTAGTTGTGGAATTGGGATTTGTCAATGTTCATGATTTTGCCATCCAGTTTATACTGTGGTAGCTATCCCTGTAATGTATCTGGGTATAGTAAGACCATTGCAAAACAGCAGGACTGCTTTATGGTCATATTGGATTTTTATCCATCCATCCATCCGTCCATCCATCGTCAACCGCTTATCCTACGTACATGGTCGCGGGGTTGGATTTTTATATGATTCTTCATCTTAATTTGATCCATTGGCCAAAGACATTCCTCTTTTGTTATTTATCTAGCAGCAGTTTTTCAATCTACTTTCCAGACAGTGTTTCCATAAAACTTCCTATATCACACAATATATTGATATCCCCATAACAATTAATATATTGTGATAGTAGTTTTTATTCCAGCCCCCTCCCTAATTGGTTAGTTTTCTTAATGACTTCCGTTGCAACTTGCATGATCATAAAGACATTTTTGCCAGTTTGCATTTAATCAGATTTGTTGCTAGTAATTTGACTTAATATCTATTAATTATTGTGATTTATTATTATTGTTGTTGTTGTTGTTTGTATTATTATTATTATTATTATTATTATTATTTAAAATTAAGAAAATAACACTTTTTTTTATGATTACAATGTGTATATATATTTAACAGAGACAATACATTCCTTAATGATTACCCAAAGCATTCCAACCCACTGTCCTTAATGTAATAAGAGTTAAAAATAGTCAAAAATAAACTAAATGTAAACATGTAATGACATTTACTTAAAGCGGTGGTATTATGGTTTTTGTCTTTTTCCCTCTCCTTTATTGAGTTATATATCTTTTTTGTGCATGTAATAGGTTTGCAAAGTGAAAAAGCCCAAAGTCCACCCCAAAGGGAGTTCCCATCTCCCACAGAAAGCACTGCTCTGAACTGCCTGAAAACCGCTCGTTTGTAGTCCAGCCTTTACTTCCCTTTCTTGTGACGTCACAATGAAAATACGTGTCATAATGCTCGCTGAGTCCGACACGCCCTCAAAAACACCGGTGGAAAAACATTGAGCTGCAGCACACACCTCTCCTCTTCCTTCCAAACACTAGCTACCCTCCAAGCAGTCAATGGACATGAAGTTGTTACTGTGATGTAGAGACAGAGCTCACTTAAATCTTTATGGATGAAAGATACTTTTGTTACAGATTAATAACTCACCACTCTGAAACTCGTGCTCCAGTCCAAATTGCCAACCTGGTCAGCAACATGTAGCCTATAGCTGAATCTTTTCACTGACCATCCTTTCTCTGCTTCTGATTGGCTATTACTGGCCTTTCGCTGCCCCGCCCTTCTCTGCTTCTGATTGGCTAGTAGTCCTTAACTAGGAACTGCCTTGCAACTCCCAACAAAGATCATTTAGAGACAAGATGTATCACTCCTTAGCTAAAACAAAGCCTTCAACACAGGGTGAAAAGAGGAGCTGCAGCAATGTGCAGTATGACAAAAATATGGTGTTTTTTGAACATTAAACCATGTAAACCTGTTCTGGTACAACCCCTAAATATGATTTTGAACCTGAGAATGAGCATAATGCCACCCCTTTAAGTCAAGTTTATTGATGTAGCCCAATATCACATATGTCTCAAAGGGCTTTACAGCTCAAAACGGTATCAAAAAAGAGAGTTTGTGGATGGGCAGCTTAGAGGATATGTTGAGTGGAAGAGAAGGTCATTGCAGGCTGCTTGCAGACGTGGTGGTGTGTCAGTGACCAATCAAATGCTGTACCCAAGACATTGAAACATTAGGTTGTTGTAAGAGCTAAAGATATGTGCAGGGAGATGCAAATGTCTCATCAGCTGACTTCCATTTCTCTCTCTCTCTCCGTCTGTGCATCTCCCACTTCTGCCTTCCTCTTATTGTCAAGCTGGTGCATTAATGTTCAACATGTTATTCCCTCCCCCTCCTAAAACACAACTTCTGTGTCAGATATCTTTGTACTGTAAAATATAGATACTGCGTACTGTTTGTATGCTTAAAACCTCACCCTTTTCACTTGTCAAATTAATGTCAACTGAGCTAAACTCCAACTCAGTTGTCACGTTTATCTTGCGAGCTGAGGTCTGGCAGCTGAATAATCGTAACCATAGTCCACTGATGTGATGGGTTTTCTTGATGGGAACAAATAAACTGGATCCTTCCTTTATCTTACTGTGTAATGACAAACATCAAACACCCTGAAATGTTTGCCCTTGTGAGTTTCCTCACAACTTGTCTGATTAAAAAGTGCTGAGAGACAGTGAGTGAGGAATGCACATTTACTTACCTCCCACCAACACAAGGACACCCAGCTGGAGAAGTTGCTGCAGGTGCTTAAAAATACAGTTAAGCTGAAAGCTTCCTCTCTCCTTTTAAAAAGCAGATCTCCTTTAGTAGGCCGTGGGGAGCTGGCAAAGCAGTGGAGTGTGGGGAAGCTTTGGATTGTAGGGAGCTAATAAGAGGCTCTGTCTCATTATTGGCATGTGGGTAATTAACAGCGGTGGTCTGACTCGTCCGCCTGATTGCCTCTCTAGTTATCTCCTCAGTAAATGGAAGAGTGTTGGACTGGTGCTGTTGTTAAGAGCTAATTAAAAGATAATATTGTGTGGAGGTTTTTGTGGAAGATGGCAATCAGAGGTGATAAACACACATATACAATATGTAGTCCTATTGTCTTATTTTGCCAAAAACTGTCATTAGCCATCTGGCGTACTAGGGAGTCATTATCTGTGCCTACTTCTCAGAATGTTTTCTGTGTCTGCCCCCCTGAAAAGTGTATTTGGTGTCTGCTTTACTGGGAAACAAACCTGCCAGGTCTGTAGGCTAGATCATCATTTCAAGTCCAAGTTGATTTTAAGACTGAGTCCTGTCATGTTCAAGTTAAGCTCAGAGTTAGACGGGTTGAGACTTAGATCAGTACTAGGACTGAAGAAAATGTACCTTTCCAAAAGTGTTTCTAAAAGAGAACACTTCAAAATTCAGCTGTACCAAATTTGAGCTTTGCATACATGTTTCTACGAGTGAAATTTTTTTTTTTCATTTTTTGCGTTTGTAAATATCAGTTTGTATGTTTTTAAGATGAGCAACTAAAAACTTAAGCCAGCATTCAGAAGTTGAAATTACCAACTGCAGAGATTGATACTAGTGGTTTTTGACAGAAATGCCACACTTGTTGAAGATTGCTTTGTAAGGGAAAAACACTTGGTGATGAAAGACTCTTTAAACGTCCTGTTATTTTGTGAGGTAAAATGGTATTCATCTGACAGAATAACCTTTAGCAGAGCTCTTCTTTCTTTATGTATCAACAAACAATGTTGTTCCCTCTTCTTTCTTTTTCTTAATATAAATTCACAATACTGTGTTTGTACAGTGGGCCTTCTTTGGCCCAGACATCTGTCACAATTTCTTTAGTGTTAATTCATTTGTTACCTAAGCCGCCTTGGATTTTCTCTAGAAATAGGCCAGGCTTGATTTTCTCTCCAAATATGTGCTCTCATCACTGACTTGAGTTAGTCATTAGATGCCATGCGAGTGGGCAGATCAATGCAGCTCATTGATTCATTCTGCCAGGTTGAGGAGAGAGGCACTGGCAATAATTGAATAGACCAGAAATTAACATCAGTAGCCTCTGACACTCAAGGTCAAGTCTGCTTATGTCTTTGTTCTCTTGGGCTATTCTTTATTCCATTATGTTGGATTTAAGGAGTAGTTAAACTTTGTTGTAGTGATCATTGATGAGCAGTTTTCAAGTTCTTGCGATTACGTGTTAGCCTAAAATTTTGTAACGGTACCTGTCCAGCAGAAACATAGCAACATGGACATCTCATTTACCGTAGTCCTAGATCCCTCTACCTGTTGAATGCAAGTATTCACTAGGGTTTTTGTTCCCACTTGACTATAAGTAAAAATAATTCAACGATTGTTTATTTTATTATTTAAGTTTAAGAGGTGGTATTTTGGTTTTTGGCTTTTTCCCTCTCCTTTATTGAGTTATATATCTTTTTTGTGCATGTACTAGGTTTGCAAAGTGAAAAAGGCCAAAGTCCACCCCAAAGGGAGTTCCCATCTCCCACAGAAAGCACTGCTCTGAACTGCCTGAAAATAGCTCGTTTGTAGTCCAGCCTTTACTTCCCTTTCTTGTGACGTCACAATGAAAATGCGTGTCATAATGCTCGCTGAGTCCGACACGCCCTCAAAAACACCGGTGGAAAAACATTGAGCTGCAGCACACCTCTCCTCTTCCTTCCAAACACTAGCTACCCTCCAAGCAGTCAATGGACATGAAGCTGGTCGGCAACATGTTTACCGTCTTTTCGCTGACCCGCCTTTCTCTGCTTCTGATTGGCTATTACTGGCCTTTCGCTGAGCTGCCCTTCTCTGCTTCTGCTAGTAGTCCTTAACTATGAACTGTGCATGTGCAACTCCCAACAAAGATCATTTAGAGACAAGATGTATCACTCCATAGCTAAAACGAAGCCTTCAACACAGGGTGAAAAGAGGAGCTGCAGCAATGTGCAGTATAACAAAAATATAGTCATCAATCCATCCATCCATCGTCAACTGCTTATCCAGCGTACAGGGTCACGGGGTGCTGGAGCCAATCCCAGCTTACATCGGGCGAATGGCGGGGGTACACCCTGGACAGGTCGCCAGTCCATTGTAGGGCCAAAAACTATGGTGATTTTTGAAAATTAAACCATGTAAACCTGTTCTGGTACAACCCCTAAATAGGATTTTGAACCTGAAAATGAGAATTATACCACCTCTTTAAGTGTATTTTCCAACATGAAATTTAACACAAAATGCATTTCATGACTTAAAACAAAAGAAAATATGGTAACATAGTGAAAACACACTCATTCAATCAATGATTGTCTGCTGAAATATTTTACATTGACTTTCTAAGTTCATTCTGCAAAATGTTTCAATCTTTGTACATTTTCTTACTCTTACCATACCCATCATATTTGCACCGGGCAGGCAGAGCTCAGTCAGCTTTTGTTGGCTTGTTAGCTGCCAGTGGCCCTCTGTGGTTTTATATGGCTTTCCTTGTTCATCCCTGTGTGTGGTTTTTCTTCTTTTTTTTGGTGTCATCTGGTGAGACAGTAAGCTCTGGCCTGACTGATTGGTCAGACAGTTGGCCACCGTCAGGTCTTAGGATAGTCATGCTGATTGTCTTGTTGAGATTTACCCTCACTGACAATCTCTTACTGTCATAATGATACCTGCAGGTCTCTCTTGGGCTTGGATTGCTGTCTGTCCTTGACAAATGAGAATGGATGGTATGCTGGCCAGAGGAACTCTGTGCTAGTCCATGACTCTGGTGCTTCTTTGGCTCCCTTAATATAGCATATAATATATGTCCTTAATGCTGCAAACGTGCACTTTCACACTGGATAGTCCTCGTCCTACTAGCTTTCCTGTGATTGAAGGCATCAGTGATCTGCATAATGTAAATGCATTTTTTGGATGTCATGATTGTGCTGGTCGAAACTAAGTTTAGACTGGTCCAGTGTCACAACGAGTTATTTGAAACTGTCAACCATACAGTCTATGGTTATTGGTGGGAATAAGTTCAGTTAAATTTTATTTTTTTAGCCCCAATTCATAACTGAAGTTATTTCATTGTACTTTTTATATAGACCAGGGGTGAGAGGGGGTTGGGGGGTGAGGGAGCAGGAGAAAAACACAGTAGCACAATGCAAGTTACACATAGAGATGTAAAGTAATAGTTAAAAAATATCAATGAAAGTAATTGCGCCTTGCTCAGGGGGCACCTTCGGCATGGGTCGTGCTGGACTCGATCCTGCAACCCACAGCCAAGTCCTAACAGACTGAGCTAATGCCACCCCTAATGATGATGATAATAATAAGACTAAAATTGATAATAATAAGACTAATAATAATTAGAACATGGGGACAGTAGGTGGCTTGCAACCACAAATCCAGAGAGGGAGAGACGAGAAGCACGAAACTACGGGAGAGGGAAGAAGTCAGGTTAGTAACATGTACTCATGGGATATGAATGCCTAGAGTCAAACCTATACGACCAAATTGTCAAACCTGCTGATCAATTTGTAAATGATTCCAGGTTTTTGAAATTAGTTTTTGTTAACATTTGGTTCACAGTTGTACTTCCTAACTAAAGCAGTGCATGCTATGAAGAGACAATGAAAATTTTTACATTTTTAATTATGATTCATGCAGTTGAATATAAATTTGCAGAACTGTGCACTGCAGATGTCAGTTATTCTGTAGTCAACATAGCATCATTTTATTGCTAGTTGCAACTCCATCCATCCATCCATCCATCATCAACCGCTTATCCTGTGTACAGGTCGCGGGATGCTGGAGCCAATCCCAATTACAGTGGGCGAATGGCGGGGTACACCCTGGACAGGTTGCCAGTCCATTGCAGGGCCACACATAGACAAACAACCAGTCACACTCACTTTCACACCGAAGGACAATTTTAGAGACACCAACTAACCTAGCCTGCATGTCTTTGGACGGTGGGAGGAAGCACCCGGAGAGAACCCACACAGACACGGGGAGAACATGCAAACTCCACACAGAAAGGCCGGGGCAACCGGGGGTTGAACCCACGACATTCTTGCTAATACTGTATATTACATTATTTTGCTTTTTTATTTTTTTTATAAGGATTCATGATTTATTTGTGTGTGTGTGTGTGTGTGTGTATTTTTTTTTCCCCCACAAACATCAAAATTTGTGTGTGTGTGTGTTTACACAGCAGGCACCAGAGAGGGTGGGTCAGAGCGATGCAGTGTATGAGGTAGTGAGTCTTCAGAGGGAGGCAGAGAGAAGCAATGAAGGAAGAGGACAACCGGCCTCGCCCACTGAGGAAGAGGAGGCTGATGAAGGTATGGATGTTCCTTTCTTTCTTCTTTTTCACTCTCTCCCCCCTCTGTTCCTTGGTTTCTACCCCTCTTACTTATAGTTAAGTTAATCCTACAGTATATACTAACACCACCATAGTACATAATCTCCAATAATGCTAATTATTTTCATCTTTGATAAGCCGGTTAGGCTTTCTCTGTATATGTTATATCGATAAGATTCTTCATCAGAAGAATTCTTTATGCTTCCCCCACAAATACATACATACACATATATATTTATATGACAAGTCAACGTTAATTTGTTTTCCAAATCTTGTGTGATTGAGAAATGTGACTTCACATTGCATAGCGCCTTACGCTGCCTTTAATATTAGAGAAAAACAAGACACCTCAGTAAACCTTCACAGGTACAAAAACAAAATAATTGCTTTACCACAAATAGCTTGTCGGTGGGAGAATACATTCCCATTCTGGGTGGCACGAACGCTTCATCTAAATGAGATTATGTGTCCAGATATTCAGTCTGAAATATAGGTTTTCCAACAGCATAAATGTACTATATATTGGCAGACATGAATCAACATGAAGTTTAATTTTGTTTAGACACATAAACAATGGCAGGGATGTATGTACGTGCATGTTTGAACATGTGTTGTGTGTAAGTGAATGTTGTAAGGCATTTGATAACAGCATGAGGATAGATTATAAGGACTGAAATTGAGTGTGTGTGTTTGTATACGTGTGGAAAGAAAGTGCTTGTATTCAGTGTGTAATAACATATTTTGTGTGTGTGTGTGTTTGTTGTACAATCAATGCAGGCAGAATTTCAGGGGTTTTGATAGCCGAGTGAGTGAGTGAGTGCGCGCTTGTGTGTCAAACATGAGGGATGTTGTGTGTGGCCCAATCCTGTTGGGGCTTGTTGGCTGCTAGCACTACCATCACCAGACCATGGTTGTTCTCATTCCAAACGGAGGCTCTTGACCACTCCATCAGTGCATACAAACCATCTGGCACAACCACCATCAATCAGAATATAGTCCATTATCAAACCATGCTGCTTGCGAAGTCAGTTCTTGATTTAAGTACTGAGTCCATTACATTTAACATGATCAGTTTAGGTGACAAGGCAGAGAAAAGTGGATATTTTCCTGTTAATAATGGTAACCGTACCAGAAAAATCGAGGCAAAACAGCAGTAACATTAAAAGCACCAACACTGGCGGTTAGACTCCAGTGGTTCCCAAACATGACCCAGTTTCAGCCTACTAATTTTAACAGGACTGGCATTTCCTGACCACTGGCTCGGTTGTGCAGGTGTTGCAGATTAGGCCTGGCCACAATTCAGACTGCACGCTTCATAATTTGGTTTGGATTAAGCTGTACATTTCTGTGTTCATTTAGCTGTTAGCCTATGACATTTTAATAGGATGCAAAAGCCTACAGTAGAAGAATACTGACTGCAGCTGAATGTGAACGTACAAAATATAAACCATGGAAACATGGGAACATCTACCACTGGAGACTCATCTTCATCTTATTGTGTTGCTTCTCTTGCTTCTTCTCTTTGCCACTGTTAACAGTCTTCTACTTTTTTTTTACCTTGAAGCACTAAAAGGTATTAACAGAGTGGGAGGCAAAAGTTGTCGCTCCTATGTCTAGCTGCCGACTTGCCTAAAGTCACGAGTCAGCCACCAAGGCCGGGGCTGACGGCTTTCAACTGGCACTGTGGAAGCCATTCAGAGGGCTTTTTCTTTAACGCCAATCTACTCCCCCAGAGCTGAAAATTGGAGGCGCTCAGGGCTGTGGAGCTGGAGGTCAGCCTCATTGTGCACAGAAATGAATACACTCCCAGTCTAGATGCCACCGCTGTCAGCGCACACACATTCAATTCATGTGAATGTCATTTCTTTCTTCTTGGAAGCTGCAATGTGGAAAGTAGGCCTGAAGCTGGCATTCTCTTTTTTATTTTATTTTTTTCTCCTTAGCTTTTTCTTTCACAGCATGCTTTGTGATTCTTGCTTATTGTGTTTTTTTTGTTAACCTTTTTTATATACATGTGCGGACACACACACACACACACACACACACACACACACACACACACACACACACACACACAAATACTGTGTGTTCTACTTTCATATACTTTTCACACAGACGTATGTGATCATACACATGCATTTATTCATAAATTCCCTCTGCTATATTGTGTAAGTGGAATTATCCTGTATCTGCTTAATACTGCTAACTGAGACAAAAACAGCTGGATTCATTCAGTACACCGTTATCAAATAAGAGGTGAGGGTCAAAAGTGAAAGACATGTCAAGGACGTTGAATTAAAAATGATAAAAGTACATTAACAAGGGCTAAAATATTACAGGTAAAACATCTTTGTGGCACTTGTAGAGAATTTCTGCTCACTTTAATGTTGACAAAACCAATCCACGAGTGGCTTTAACATCAGCGAGATCCTTTTTGAGAGCAACTCTACAGTGAATGTATAGCCCCCCTCCAGATTAAAAGGGAACAGTAATGGACCTCGTCTTCACAGTTTCTTTCATCACCTGGTAAGTTGGCAGTGGCATTGGACTCACGCTTCCTTGCCACGTGTCCTTAGCCATTCTGAGGACAGAAGCAGCAGCTTTGTGCTGAACCATTTGAAAAGGCTCATCAAGCATTTATAAAGACCTGAAAAGCCCCTGCTGAGGCTACTCCCCCAGAGTAGGATGTATAGGAGCAGCGGTGCATTGAGCATAGCATGTTCTAGAAGAAAATGTCTTAACTCATTATTTAATGTCAAGACCGTAGTAAAGGCTTCAGTGGGAGTGAATGATTTTTAACACTTTTCTGGGCTATTGTTGCTCTCTGGGAAAACTAATGCCATGCCCTGAGAAGTTAATTGCCACTATTTTTGTTTTTGTTATATTATGTCAGTTGTAAAATGTCTGTTTCATTTTAGCAACCTTTGTTTTAATTATAAACAAGGGCACAAAAGACACATTCGCAGTTGGATTTGTTTATGAGTAATCAGTCATCTAGGTCGTGGGATAAAATGAAAAATAAAAGCCTAACTGGATTGAAAATAACATATCTCTTTGTAGTTTAGCAGTGAGGTACCTATTTGTTTTGTATTTATAGACCATAATTAATAGAAATTTTCTGTGTCTATTTAAATTTAAGGAGAAGATTACGAGTTAACCCTGGGCCAGAGTCACTCTAACAATCAAATCCAATTCTACATCTATTTTATACAATGCATGTGTTTGTTTCCGTGGGCAGTCTCTGTGTGGGGATCAGTTCATCTTTCCAGCAGCAGAGCAGGGCAGACAGTCAATTAGTGCTTCTGCATCTAAACACAAGTGGTTCACTGTGCTGATTGCCTCTTGTCAGCCTCACAAACCATCAGACAGGAGAACAGCAATAATGTAAAGTGTAGGCACTGCACAGGCACTCACTCCTTCCTCCATTTGAGTGTGGCATCAGTATTAACAGATTTTAAAATGTGCAGTTCCCTGACATATACTGTATGTCTTGAAGATGTGTCATTGCTTGTTTCAAGACAAACATGTCCTGTTGTCTTTGACTAAGTACTTACTACTGTGAGTAACATTTAAACACAAAGATAGCACAACACACTAAATTTTAGACAATGTTAAAGAGGTCATATTATGCTGGCCTTTTCTCTCTCCTTATATATCTTTTTTGTGCATGTAATAGGTTTGCAAAGTGAAAAAGGCCAAAGTCTACCCCAAAGGGAGTTCCCATCTCACACTGAGCTGCAGCACACAGTGACAACGACGTCCACCTGCTGCCTTTCCTCTCTCTTCCAAACACTAGCTACCCTCCAGGCAGTCAATGGACATAAAGTTGTTACTGTGATATAGAGACAGAGCTCAGTTAAAACATTATGGATGAAAGATTCATTTGTTACAAATTAATAACTCACCACTCTGAAACTCTTGCTCCTGTCCATGTTGCTAAGCTGGTAAGGGGAACATATACAGCTGAATCGAAGCCGTGTTTACCAGCCTCTCACGACCTGCCCTGCTCTGCTTCTGATTGGCTAGTAGTCCTTAACTAGGAACTGCGCATGTGCTCAGACAACTCCCAACTCCCAACAAAGATCTTGTAGAGATAAGATGTATCACTCCATAGCTAAAATGAAGCCTTCAACACAGGGTGAAAAGAGGAGCTGCAGCAATGTGCAGTATGAGAAAACACATATGGTGTTTTTAAGGGCTAAAACGATTCATCGATAAAATCGATTAATAAAATGCATCGACACAAATTCTTTGCCGCCGCCGCGCAAAAGTACTTCTTAAACGACGCAACGATGTATCATTGAAATAATCTATCGAAACTTCGAATACTAAAATCATCGTTAGCTGCAGCCCTAGTGTTTTTTGAAAATTAGGACCATGTAAACCTATTCCGGTACAACCCCTTAATAAGATTTTGAACCTGAAAATGAAGCTTAGTAGTGTATTCCCATATGGACAAAGGTTACAGATATCAGGAATGATCCCCTTGTGTTCTAAATGTCTGTTAATATCTGGGTGTGTTTTATGTTTCCTGCAGATAGCGACAGTGAAATCTCCAGTGGGACAGGAGACGTTTCTAAAGACTGTCCTGAGAAAATCCTGGAGTCCTGGGGAGGAATACTCAACAGATGGTAAGTCTTTAAAAGAGACAGATGAATCAAATTTAGATATTAACTAGATGGTGCAAGATAGTTGGACACAAGCAAAAACAGTGAGGAGAATGAAATACAGGAAATTAATATAAAAATATTGATGGAATTGTATGCAGCTGTATGATCTAGAAGAAGAAAAGGTGGAAAGTACAGTGAAAGACAAGAAGAAATGCAGATAAAAATTGAGAAATAAAAATACTGAATGAACTGATTTAGAGAAATAGTGGGAGATGGACATAGACACTGGGAATCTTAGTGCTGAAAATGTCAGTTTCGGTTAAAAAACATTTGCACAAGACATCTAGAATATGTCAATCTGTTGTAAAGAGAAATATTTATCTAGATTTAAAGAAATTTTAGTAGTTTTAAGGGGAAAAATTGATATTGCCTCTAAAGACCTGTAATTTATACCATTTACTTGTGAATGATACAGTAGCACCAACTTATAATAAGGAACAGTAAGGAAACTAGTGTAAATATACCAGAAGTGTCATAAATGCAGTTATATCAAACTTTTGAATTTTGGGTCTCCATCTTGTGACATGACACATTGGGCCCATCCTGCCTCATACAGACTATGATTTACCGTACAGGCCAGAGGCCCTTTTCATGATTTCATTATCTTCAGTTCTCTTCAGATATAGCCATTTATTTATAATGCTATAACACATACAGCGACTTTCACAACAATCACCAGTGATACATACAGCTTTAGGTACAGACACTGGCATAATTAACCAAATGAAAGATGTTTCTGGATTTTCATTTTATTTCACAGCCTGTTTTCTTGCTGTTGCATCAGCACAATGAAGTGAAGTAATTTATCAGGAAATTACTTTTATATGACCTCAATAAATGCATTACAATGAGATTTCAAGCATCATTAAAAAGAGCTGACTGTGTGTTCTCAAAAGCAAGATATTTCCTCATGTGGGAGAATTCTTTCAGCATGGCAGCGCCGTGGTTAATACTCTGCTCTAACACACAACAGTACTGTACTTTGTTCTGTAGTTACTATAACATGAATACTGTGTGACGGTCATATAACTCTGTACTGTCATTGCACAAATGTCACCGTTACACATAAAGGATATAATAAAAACAAACAAATCAATGATCAAGCTACACTTCAAATTAATATTTAAAGTGGCTAAATTTCATTAGGTGAGATTATAAAGTAATTGGTTATTTATGTGTGTGTGTATCAGGCATGGCAACCTGTCCACTCGTCCGAAGGGTTTGCCCTCGTTGGTTCGCAGTGGCATTCCTGAGCCACTCAGAGCTGAAGTCTGGCAGCTGCTGGCCGGTTGCCACGACAACCACGACCTGCTTGAGCACTACCGCATCCTCATCACCAAGGTAAAGGCACCACACACAGATCATGGAGGGACAACTGCTTATAACAAGTTGCATTTACTATACGCTTTTCTATTTTTTAGTTTTATGTGGAAGTGTGTGAGCTGATTTAAAACACAGAATGTTTGCTGACAGCTCATATACGCAAATGACTGTGTGTACTTAACTTTAATTTCCCCCCAAAATGTTTTATCATATCTGGATCTGCGTGCTGGCACACATCTCAACATTAGCTCAAAAAATGACTCCTAACAAAAGTCAGAGTTATTTTAAATTACCAGGTAAATGTGTGGTTTTCTCCTCCTGCTCTCTATTCATCGCTTCATGTAAACTTAAAATATGGAAAACCATGTTCTCGATGATACTTTTATATGATTCCATCAGTTTCAATTGTTTGCCTATGGTGATAGGAACCTTAAGCATACACACTGGTGAAAGTATTTTGTCTTTCTCGTGTGTGTGGATGTTTCTTACACCATACAGTAGTTAACAGTCCACTGCCTCTCCCAGAAATAGTGCAATTCCTGGTTACGTTTTGGTGGAAACTAGATGAGTGGTGTGAATGGTTATTAAATAATTTCACAATGATGAAAGCAAAGTGTGAAATATTTTTCCTTATTATGTCTACCATACTATGTCTGAGAGTACCAACATTACTGATATTGCTCTTGTCATTACAGCTGTTCCTCTGAACTGCGTGTCTTGTTGGAGAACACTCTCATTTAGCTGTGACATTTAAATGCATGTGTTGCTGTCTCAGGGCTATTACAGCCCGTGTTGGCCCTTGGCCTCTGAAGGAGCTTGCGAGAATTCAAAGTGATTTTTTTAGACCTTTAGTATTTAACTGTTGGGCATTCTTAAGGCTGTGTTTGTCTGTTTGGTCGGTTGAGTTTAAGGCGGTCATGGTCATACAGGTGCGCAACAAACTCTGGTGCCCCGAAAACTGGATTTGGATTTCCTGCTGACTAAAGGTCACTTTTACACCTGTAGTTTCTTGTTTCATTTGGTCAAGACCAAAGGAACAAAAAGATTCACTGTTGACCCAGATAGGGAAATGGGGTGAACACTCACAAGTGACAGCAAGTTACTTTATCACTTTACTGCACCTTAACCTGTTCACTGATGTTCTCTGTTATTTTATTATATATCTGTAGATTAGGTGCGAAAGACCCACTAACACAAATAGATTGCGGCTTCACTTTTTTTGTTCATCTCCAGAATGACTTACAACTTGTGCAAGACTAGAACAAAGTAACAGTAAACATGCCATCCAAAATAGGTAGCACACACACCCAAATTCTCCTTACCAATATTACAGGCAACTATTGGTAAGGAGTTTAAAGGTCAAAGCTTCAATGGCCAGAGAGCAGAGATGGACATAATTTTCCATTGACATACGTATTGATTTAGAATTGAGTTCCAAGCCATTAAACAGTTCTTGGTATTAGTCATAGAAAGACACAGATGTTATGGGTTGCACTGCATGAGACTACAGCTTTATTAGCGTCATTTTTACATGTGTAGGCACATTTCATATAGATATTCATATGTTTTCATGATTAGGATAAAGATAACAGCCCATCATTGTGTTATCCAGTAAATATCTATTACTTTGCTTGATATACTGATATTTTTATAATTTGATAAATATGAGCACCTCAGTTTTCAACTACACCTGGCATTGCTATGCTAGTTTTCTATAGTTATAAATTAAAACTTCATTTTCCAAATGTGATCGAGCAGTTGTGTGACCGGGATCTGGCGAGAGATTTATAACAAAGCCCCACTGGACCAGATAGGAGCAGTGTTAGGAGGTGATAAACACGCAAAGCAGTCAGATGTCCTCGCTTTTATGGTTAATACAATAGTCTTTCTCCTTTGCCTCACTGAAGCGGGTGAAACTACCTGCCTCGATCAATATGCAAAGAGAAAGAGGGGGAGAGATGGAAAGAAGAAAAATGGAGAGAGGGAGGAATTTGGACCCATAAATATGAGGTTGTTGTCACTGAGGGAGAATTGGAGAAAAGGAATGTGTGTAAACGTCAAGAGAGCCTGGCAGATTTCTGTCTTGCCTGAGTCACATATTTTTAGTTGTATTTCACCTACTGTGTAAATTTCTCTTTGTCTTTCTGTTTATCTCACTATCTTTATCTGGTAAATTGGGACAGTTTTTCTTTTTAAGTCCCATTTCTCTACCTTGCCTTCGCGGTCCTTTCTTTCTCTTTCCAATAGTATATGTCTTTTCCCTCTGTTCATTGCTTACACTCATTCTTTCTTCTTTCATATGAGCCATGTTTTTTATGCCTCTCTTTCTCTATATCGCTCTCATTACATAAGACCAAGCTTCTTCAGTTCAACTCATTTATTGTCATTCCACTGGCTGGGCAATGCCCACATCCTCTGTTTTGCTGGAGTAGTGATGGTATTGATAGGCGGGTGGCCGGGCTATTAATAGCTACACCAAATGAATGGAACTGAGGAAGGATAGAGGAGGGAGGGAAAGAGGGAAAAGAAGCAAATGACAGCAACGGCGAGGGCGATGTGGAGCTTATTAATGTCTGTTGTCTGGGCTCAGTGACGACGTTAATGCTGATTGAATTTTAAGTAATTGGATTCTAGTCCTTATGGAAGGAGTATCAGTGTCTGTAATCAGTGCTTTGTATCACCAGGGGTTCTGGGCAGGCGTTATGTTAGTGATCCACAGCCGATGGGTGTTAAATCATGTGTGGTTTGTAGACCTAAAAATACATCACCAAAACAGATGCAGAAAATAGAAACAATTTTTTTTTTTAATTGTACTTGGTGAGTGAACTGATTTTAATTGTGATTTCTGTGTTATAGACAAACAACAGAACACAATATGCAATGCTTAGCAATTTAATTTCATGGTGCACTGCTTTTCTAACAGAAAATGAGCTATATAGCATGCATTTTTTTCATTTGTGCATACAACTGGCACCTTTCTTCTTTTAGCTGTTCCTAAACATCCTTGTAAATGTCTTAAAAAGTCAGCGGTTTATTGTAATGACAGTACAGACCCACTGAATCATATGTCCTTCAGCCTTCCATATTTCACGCTTAGGAATGAGTCCTGTGCACGTCTTCTCAAATATATTTTACTCTAGGCCCATGTTAGTGACACAGCAAAAAAAAACTGTTTAGTAGGGAAATGGTTGCAGCATTTCTTATGAAACATATCTTACATTAGTATTTTGTTTGTGCTGGAATATGCCACATTCAGACAAGTGCTTTTAAATGTTGTTGTTTTTTTTGTGTGTATGTGTTTTCAGGTACTGTTTGTGTGTGTAATTTAAAATGTGGTCACATCTCATTTTCTATCAATCCCATGTGACATGATTCTGATGTTCAACAAACTGAGATGACAGACAGATAAAGACATTTCATGTCCCTGAGAAAAACTGAGCATAATTAAAACAAATGAGTCAACAGCCAAGCTTTCTTATTACTAACTTTGTTAATACATGTTGAGTTTTGAGCATAGTGAATGCATGCCTGTCCTGTTGCTATGACAGCCAACGATGTAATGGCAGCAAATGATTATGTATTTGAAACACACAAATGTGATCTGGCCATGACTCACTGTAAAAAAAAAAAAAAAAAAGTCCTATTCTGGTACCTGGCTACACTACTACATGGACTGCAAAAGGTTACTCGCCACTTGTACTAATTTAGAATACAAAACTTTGTTTACAGTTTAATTTAGACTCCAGTAGATGGATGGTTTGTTTTACATGTTGATAACTTAAGATGAGGTGTTGCCTACTCATAAGTTTAGCTGATTCAAAGAATCATTATCAGAAGTACAGTAGTTTATTTCATTTCCTATATATGGAGACTTAGAAATTTAAAAACGACTACCCACCTGGAAGAATTATATTGGTATGTATTATTTTTGGAGTTCATAAATCATGTTGTGAGCTTTCAAAGTGATCTTGTGACCTCTTGAGGGATCCCTTCCTAAGGTGAGAACCTCTGTGTTAGGAACTTACTGAGCATTTAGCAGCATGTTGTACTGCTCTCATTTACAGATGTCACACCCAGAGTCACAAATACACACTCTGTCACACACACACCATAGCCTTAGGGCATCTGAGACATTCACAAATCTTTCTCGGCTGGCTCAGCACTGTGTTTGGGGTCTGGGTTGGGGGGTGCTAGTGACATTTGAACAACCTTTTCGTATCCCTAGAGCTGAACAAGTCCAAGGTGTGCTGCCTCGCATGAACCAACAGCTTAAAAAAGCTCAGCCAGCTATTTCCAGGCCTGCCTTTCCAAAGACCAATCTCACTCACAGCCAGTTTGTTGGCGGTGGTCAGCATCTCGCAACAGGTATGGCTGCTGTAATCAGAAGCCTGAAACAGCGGTTTCAACACAGCAGGCCGTAAGGAGCCTTATACTGAAGGTCTTCCAGAGGAATTGATTTTTTCTTTGACTTTTCTTTTCAAAGCTTTTGTACAAGATGTCACCCTTTTCTAACTTTTTGTACTAATTATTAGCTATGTCATATATATTGTATAAATACTGTACTGTATAAAAACCCTAGTACATTCAGTATTGTTGTCTTTTGTTTGGGTACTGTGGTATGATTACATACACAAATCCCATTTCTATCTACTGAAATAAGTGTACGGTAAAAGTAATAAAACTTATTTTAGCTGTAAAGATTTCATGTATCTATCATTTTCCATTCCTTTTGTGAACTTTGCTGGATTTCCCTTCCATGACTGGAAGCAGCTTACAAAGCATGTAATGAATTCTAAGAGAAAATTAGACCAGCGCTGTGATAGTGCTTTACATTTTGATGTTGAATCATATTCAGGCCAGGCGCCAGCTTAGCGATGACATTTAACGTCTGTGTACAATCAAAGGTAGCATCAGCCATGCAGTCCTGCTCCAATAATACTACACCCACGCCTGATAACCCACATACAGATAAATGGAGTACAATGTACATAAGATGGCTGCCATGGTAACTGCGAAGG